CCAGTCTTACTTTTTAGCTGTTTATTGTTCAGTATCTTGTGTCCTCTCTTCAGCGCTTACTCCAACTTCTGGCCAGAGAATACACCCTGAGCACTTCATAAATCCTCGGAACTACATATCCTATGATTCCTTTGTCCCGTCTATACCGCATATGAACAAAACACTGGCACTATACTGCCCTAACCTGCCACTATGCTGCCTTAACCTACCACTATGCTGCCCTACCCTGTCACTATGCTGCCCTAACCTACCACTATCCTGCCGTAACCTGCCTCTATGCTGCTCTAACCTACCACTATCCTGCTCTAACCTGCCACTATGCAGCCAGGACCTACCACTATACTGCCCTAACCTGCCACTATACTGCCCTAACCTGCCACTATGCTGCCCTAACCAACCACTATGCTGCTCTAACCTACCACTATACTGCCCTAACCTGCCACTATACTGCCCTAACCTACCACTATACTGCCCTAACCAGCCACTATGCTGCCCTAACCTACCACTATCCTGCCCTAACCTGCCACTATGCTGCCCTAACATGTCAATATGCTGCCCTAACCTACCACTATCCTGCCCTAACCTGCCACTATGCTGCCCTAACCTACCACTATCCTGCCCTAACCTGCCTCTATGCTGCTCTAACCTACCACTATCCTGCTCTAACCTGCCACTATGCAGCCCTAACCTAGCACTATACTGCCCTAGCCTGCCACTATGCTGCCCTAACCAGCCACTATGCTGCTCTAACTTACCACTATATTGCCCTAACCTACCACTATACTGCCCTAACCTACCACTATGCTGCCCTAACCTAACACTATCCTGCCCTAACCTGCCACTATGCTGCCCTAACCCGCCACTATGCTGCCCTAACATGCCAATACGCTGCCCTAACCTACCACTATACTGCCCTAACCTACCACTATGCTGCCCTAACCTACCATTATGCTGCCCTAACCTACCAATTTCCTGCCCTAACCTGCCACTATGCAGCCCTAACCTACCACTATACTGCCCTAACCTGCTACTATGCAGCCCTAACCTACCACTATACTGTCCTAACCTGCCACTATGCTGCCCTAACATGTCAATATGCTGCCCTAACCTACCACTATACTACCCTAACCTACTACTATGCTGCCTTAACCTGCCACTATGCTACCCTAACCAACCACTATGCTGCTCTAACCTACCACTATAATGTCCTAACCTGCCACTATACTGCCCTAACCTACCACTATACTGCCCTAACCTACCACTATGCTGCCCTAACCTACCAATATACTGCCCTAACCTGCCACTATGCAGCCCTAACCTACCACTATACTGCCCTAACCTGCTACTATGCAGCCCTAACCTACCACTATACTGTCCTAACCTGCCACTATACTGCCCTAACCTACCACTATACTGCCCTAACCTGCCACTATGCAGCCCTAACCTACCACTATACTGCCCTAACCTGCTACTATGCAGCCCTAACCTACCACCATACTGTCCTAACCTGCCACTATGCTGCCCTAGCCAACCACTATGCTGCTCTAACCTACCACTATAATGTCCTAACCTACCACTATACTGCCCTAACCTACCACTATGCTGCCCTAACCTACCACTATGCTGCCCTAACCTACCACTATGCTGCCCTAACCTACCAATATACTGCCCTAACCTGCCACTATGCAGCCTTAACCTACCACTATACTGCCCTAACCTGCCACTATGCAGCCCTAACCTGCCACTATGCTGCCCTAGCCAACCACTATGCTGCCCTAGCCAACCACTATGGTGCCCTAACCTACCACTATGCTGCCCTAACCTACCAATATACTGCCCTAACCTGCCACTATGCAGCCCTAACCTACCACTATACTGCCCTAACCTGCTACTATGCAGCCCTAACCTACCACTATACTGCCCTAACCTACCACTATACTGCCTTAGGCTGGCACTATGCTGCCCTAACCTGCCGCTATGCTGCCCTAATCTGACACTATACCACCCTAATCTGATACTTTTCCACCCTAGTTTGACACTATACTGCCCTAGCCTGAAACTATACCGTCCTTGACTAACACTATACTGATCTCAGTTACTGTATGTGTTGTGTGGGGAGGGGGATCTCTGCTGCCTGTGCCCAGGCTGTGTGCACTGCAAGGATGGCAGAAGAAGCTGTACCCCTGTCCTCTACCCAGCCAAAAGTGACTCCTGTCCTCTGCCCTGTTGACCTCCCATCCTCTGCCCCGCTGACCTCCCATCCTCTGCCCCGCTGACATTTTTACTGCACCCCATCAGAGAGGCTAGATTCAGCCCTGATGTGAACGATTGCACAGAGTGGGTAGTAGAGTCAATATGACATTAGTAGAAATGTGCCACATCACGAATAACAAATGATTTACAGTACAGCTTTCTGTTTGCTTTATGGTGCCCATACACGTTTTGGTTTTATTATCCATTTGTTGTGTAAATCAGCAAACAGTCGAATAGCCATAACTTCCCTTCTGATCAATTTAGACTCCTTGTACTTAAGGTTTGATTAAACTGAGTCGAAAATTATTGATAGTCTTGCATTGATCAGCAGCCCTAAGATGCTTTGTTCATGAATCCAATCATGTTTTGATTGATCAGATTATGAGACTGCATGGTGAAAACAAATATGTGATCGAAAATATATGATCCCATCTTCCAAATATTGATCAAACTCTACTTCTACTTGTGTGTCATATTGATTGAATAAATTGTCCACTTCAGATCGATTATTCCTTTCTGAAGAGATTTGAAAATAAATTGATCATTTACTGAAGAATGTCTGGTTGTTGTGATTTTTTAAACCTGCTGCCTTTGTGGGATGACCATCAGACATAGATATGTACACTGCTCAAAAAAATTAAAGGAACACTTTGAGAACATATCAGATTTCAATAGGGAAAAATATCATGCTGGATATCTATACTGATATCGACTGGGTAATGTGTTAGGAAGGGAGGGATGCCTCATTGTTTGACAGAAATGAAAATTAGCAACTTCCAGAGGACTGAATTCAAAGATACCCCGAAAATCAAAGTAAAAACATTATGCAGCAGGCTAGTCCATTTTGGGGAAAATTAATTACAGCAACTGAAAATGGTGCTCAGTAGTTTGTATGGCCCCCATGTGCTTGTATGCATCCCTGACAATGTTGGGGCATGCTCCTAATGAGACGACAGATGGTGTCCTGGGGTACAAAGGAACAGATACCGGTTCTGCTAATGGGTTAAGGACCTTCTATGGCCCTGTCCAGCTCTCTTAGAGTAACTGCCTGTCTCCAGGAATCTCCTCCATGCACCTGAGCCTGTGCTGGGAGACACAGCAAACCTTCTGGCAATGGCATGTATTGATGTGCCATCCTGGAGGAGTTGGACTGCCTGTGAAACCTCTGTAGAATCCAGGTATCACGTCATGCTACCAGTAGTGACACTGACCCTAGTCAAAAGCAAAAATAGTGAAAAACAGTCATAAAAGATGAGTAGGGAAAAAGTGTCAGTGGCCTCCACCTGTAAAACCAATCCTGTTTTGGGGGTCATCTCATTGTTGCCCATCTAATGCACCAGTTGTTATCAGTGCCCTGATGATCAATGCCCAGCAGTGCCACCCACCAGTGCTGCCCATCTGTGTGCAGCAGTGCCGCCCATCAGTGCCACCCACCTGTGCCCACCAGTGCCTAGTAGTGCCACCCACCTGTGCCCAGCAGTGCCACCCATCAGTGCCCAGCAGTGCCGCCAGTCAGTGCCACCTATCAGTGCCCATCATTGTTGCATATCAGTGCTGCCTATCAGTGCCCATCAGTTCCACCTATCAGTGCCCATCATTGTTGCATATCAGTGCCAGCTCATCAGTGCCACCTATCAGTGCTGCCTATCAGTACCCATCATTGTTGCATATCAGTGATGCCCATCAGTGCCACCTATCAGTGCTGCCTATCAGTGCCCATCATTGTTGCATATCAGTGCCAGCTCATCAGTGCCGCCTATCAGTGCCACCTCATCAGTGCTGCCTATCAGTGCCCATCAGTGCCACCTATCACTGCCCATCATTGTTGCATATCAGTGCCAGCTCATCAGTGCCGCCTATCAGTGCTGCCCATCAGTGCCCATCATTGTTGCATATCAGTGCCCATCAGTGCTGCCTATCAGTGCCCATCATTGTTTCATATCAGTGCCAGCTCATCAGTGCCACCTATCATTGCTGCCTATCAGTGCCCATCATTGTTGCATATCAGTGCTGCCTATCAGTGCCCATCAGTGCTGCCTATCAGTACCAGCTCATCAGTGCTGACTATCAGTGCCCATCAGTGTTGCCTATCAGTGCCACCTCATCAGTGCTATCAGTGCCCATCAGTGTTGCCTATCAGTGCCCATTATTGTTGGACATCAGTTCCAGCTCATCAGTGCCGCCTATCAGTATCACCTCATCAGTGCTGCCTATCAGTGCAGGCTCATCAACACACATCAGTGAATTTTATTTTTCTAATTTTTTGCTCTTTTTTTGTTTATAGCGCAAAAAATAAAACACCCAGTGGTGATTAAATATCACCAAAAAAAAGCACTATTTGTGTGAAAAATATGATAAACATTTCATATGGGTACAGTGTTGCATGACTGCGCAATTGTTATTCAAATTGCAACAGCGCTGAACACTGAAAATTGGCCTGGGCACGAAGGGGGTATAAGTGCCCTGTAGGCAAGGGGTTAATGGACTTGATGCTATACTCCGATTAAAAAGTGTTCCTTTAATTTGTTTGAGCAGTGTATTTCAGAGCCCTCGGTGCTGACCTTTGAACTGTGTAGTCATCCTTCTGCACAGTGCTTGAGTGAAGTGTGTAATGTCCCTGCAGTGTTTGCCCCCCCCTGTTATCCTGCAGTGAGTGCAGAGACTGCAGCCCAGATTTCCCGGGTGACGTCACGGCTTGTCATGTAACCTTGGTGACCGGGAGACGCTGAGAGAAGCCGGAACACACCATGATGTCCTCAGAGCGGCTCCAGCTGGAGGTTGTGGGGCTCCTCAGTGAACCTCCTTTCCACATCGCCAAATGTGCAGCAGAGGTGAGGCCGAGGAGATCGGGGATCGGTTATTATATACATTCTGTCCTTTCCTAAACCACCTCCTTAGTAAATCGCTGTCACTATACACTGGGGATCTGGAAATGTCTGATCTGCCTGGAGATCTGTAACTTGCATTCTGCATTATACTGTCTGCTATGTATGACACTTGTTTGTATTGAAATGTTACTAAGTTTCATAGATTTGTGGCATTCTTTGTATTTACACTGATTATAAGTAATACATGGAGATGTAATCATGGAATGTGCAGAAACAATGCTCAGATCTTCACATTCACCAGTCAGATGTTTATAATCTCTAACACAATACAAGATCTCACTGTCATAAGCAACAACATATAGAAAAAAGTTATGTGTATGCATTTATTACACAAAATGATAGAGCACCACAATAGAACCATACACACCAGTACATACCCACCTTAAAGCGGTACTAAAGGCCAAATCAAAAAAGACATATATGATATAGTCTGTCACTGGGGCAGACTGACAACTCATGGGGCCCCCAGGCAATAGGGGATCATGGGGCCCCTGTGTCCTTGCCCAAACTCAAAAAAAAAAAATATGAGAAAGGTACCAGGGGCATCTTATGGAGCCCCCTACTGACCCCGGGCCCTCGGGCAGTGCCCAAGTTTCCAAATGGTCAGTCCGCCCCTGGTCTGTCATTAGTATTAGTAAAGTCTTTATTTTCTGATATCATAGTTTTATTACCTCGTGATCCTGTTAAAGTGGAACTCCTATCTTTTTCAGCCAAGTAAGCTGCCATCTCTGTTTGATCTTGATCTGCCATGATGCTGCACATGTGATCAGTTAGGACAGCAGACTTTTGATGGTTTGACAGTTTGGTTGAGAGCACAAGCGAATGTGACAGTTACATTCCCAGCACATGCCAGCAATGTAACTGCTTTTTGAAACTTAAATCAATGTGTTTAGTTCTGCTTTAACTGACAACTTTGTTTAGGCCTCATTCACACCAATGTGCAGAGACATCAGTTTTTCTGCATGCGTTCTGCAAGGGCAAAACAAAATCAATTGTTCTCTATGTGCCCTGTTCACACCACAGCACTAGTATCATGTGTAGATTTTTTTCTGAATCTGCAACGTGTATAAAACTCATTGCAGCGCACATGTAAACTGATGTCTCTACAACTGAAATCTGCTTGTCAGTTTCCATCAGTTTTACTGCACGTATGGTGTGAACGAAGCTTTAAAGCGGAACTAAACCCTCCTATCCATTATAGCCAGGAAAGCTGCCATATTGGCTTCTGTGTGATCTGCAGTTGCTATGGTACTGCACATGTGATCAGTTATGATGCCAGTCATTTGATGGCTTGGCAGTTTGGCTGAGAGCACAAGCAACTGTGACAGTTATCATTAATGGAATTCTTGAATGGAACTGTTTTGGGAAACTATTGAATGGATAAATTCAGTTTGTTAACCCCTTCCCACCCATTCTATAGCTGATAGGCAGCTACAGTACAGCTCTCCAGTTCTGGGAGAACGTCCATGGACATCCTCCCATGTGCATGCAAATCGGGTGCCTCTCTGTTACCGCTGTGTGCTTTGGACACAGATGATCACAGATCGAGGTAAAGGGGCAATCATAGTGGCCCTTTAACATGTGATCAGCTGTGTCCAATCACAGCTGTCACAATGTAAGCAGTGGTTTGCCAGATATTGGGTTTTTACAGAGACAGCATTTGAGGAAAGGAGGGCATATCTGTCAGGACACAGTGAGTACAGCATTTACACTGATCATCACTGCCCTGATTATCAGTGGAGCCCCATCAGTGCAGCTTATCAGTGCCCTTCAGTGCTTTTCATCAGTGCAGCTTATCAGTGCCCATCAGAGCAGCTTCATCAGCGCCCATCAGTGCAGCCTCTTCAGTTCCCATCAGTGCAGCCTCATCAGTGCACATCAGAGCAGCCTCATCAGTGCACATAAGAGCAGCAGCATCAGTGCCCTCAGTGCAGCCTTACCAGCGCACATCAGAGAAGAATAAAAGTTACTTAATTGCAAAGTTTTATAACAGAAACAAAAGAAAAACCTTTTTTTTCACAATTTTTAGCAAAAAATAAAAACCCCAGCTGTGATTAAATACCACCAATAAAAAGCTGTATCTGTCTAAAAAAATGGTAAAATTTCATTTGGGTACAGTGTTGCATGACCACGTAATTGTCATTCAAAATGTGACAGCACTGAAAGCAGAAAATTGGCCTGGGCATGGGGGTGAAAATCCCTGGTATTGAAGTGGTTAAAGGAGATGTAGGGCCAAATGCTTTTTAGCTATACTTCTTTGGGTCACAGGAGTTCTGCACTCCAGTCACCCGTCTTAAGCTCCTTTGAGACCGGTGTTGATAGGCGAAGAATAGTGTGAACAGGCCCTAAAAAAATGCCTCTATAGCAATTTTTGTAACTTTGGATGGAATGGAGAAGAATTAGAACTCCTGTCAAGGTTTTCTGCTATCTGATACCCCGTTAGAAAGATTTCCCTAACTTCCTATCCTGGTGACACCAGACTGGAAACAAAGGAAAAATCTGCAACTGGGAAACAAAGCCGATGGGAGTTTTAGCATTTCCATACTTGAAGCGGAACTATACTAGCCTGTTCTCCGTTGCTACGATATGTCAGAGCTCCATGCTGGTTGTTGACATCTTGCGCCCAGTGACTTCCAGGTATCCATCCCCAGCCATTTCCATTGACCAGGCTGAGGTGATGTCCTTCCTGTGCAGTTCAATCATCCTGGAAATGCCAAAATTCCTATACTGAGCTGCTCATGTAAAGGGGCAGACAAGCAGTTAAGTAAGATCTCTTCTGTATTTAAATCCTGCCTGTTTGCATTTTTTTTTATAAAGATCCACTTAAACTTAAAACAAGAATTGTTTGCCCATGTTGCTGTTGGAGATTTTCTTTCTGGTAAAACTGTGTCACCAGAACAGGAAGTGAGAAGGAATGTCTCCAATGGAGCCCCGGATTCCAGCAAAACATGACATTGGTCCTGTTCCTTCTCTACTCCATCCATAGCTTGAAAAGAAAACAGTCATAGATAAACTGTAAGTGAGTGCATGTAAACAGAAAGTGGCTGAGAAAGGTACATGTGGACTAACAGTGATTAGAAGGCAATATTTCCTTGCATGGGGCCCTCTGCAGTCTGTGTTTGCCAACCAACTACTGAATGGCATTTTGGCTACCAGAGGCAATCAGAGTGTGCTCAATTATATGAATTTTGTTGTGGGTATAGAAGGGGAGTCTCATTCCCCCTGCTGTATTCATTGTATAAACTAGTTTAAATATTCCAGAGCAAGTATGAAACACCAAAGTAATTGATGTATCAGATTGGCAGAGATGGAAACACAGATGCAAAGATCTTGCCATGAACTCAGCCTGGGTTGTCTGACGCTTTTAAAAAGTATACAATCTAAATCGGTGGGAGAAATCCCTAATCTCTTAACTAACATCTAACAAAATGCTTTGCTAGGTGCTGAAACATTCATTTGATAGTGAGTTTGAAGATCCAGTCATAAAGCCTCTGCTGGAGTTCGCCTGGCATGAATATCTACAGGAGAAAAAAAAGGTACTTCTTTCTTTATTCTGCTCAATGAATGAACAATAAATAACTTGTACGGATGGACCAGTATAAAAAAGATTAAAATAAATAAAATAAAATAAAATAAAACCCCAGTAGATGGCATTATGGGAAGCCAAAAAGTTACAGTGGATTTACAAAAAAAACATGTAACCCCTTTTTATAATAAAAATTCATTGAAGGGGTGATAACCCTCTTTAATTCTTTGAGTTCTTCTGCCCCCTGTGACCCTGTCTGTTCCATATGAATTTTTCTTTAACTGATTTTATGGTACTCGGTAGTGCTGAATATTTATAATTTTGTGCATCTCAACTTTTACTACAGGGTGCATAGTATGGGATCCACTCACAGCCACCAGTAATAAAGAGCCAAAGGGAATAAATGGAGATACAAAAAAAAAAATGTATTATATTATAAATAGCATCAAAAATTATCAAAAATTCTAACAAAACCAAATGAAAGCAAAATATCCTTCATCACACCCACATAATAAAAAAAAAATTAAAGACAGCATTTCTCAAAAAATGTATATGGGTGTGGTAAAGGGCATTTTTCTTTAATTTGGTATTGTTTGATTTTTAATCATTTTTTATGATATTTAAATTATATTTTTTATAAATATATTTTCAAAAATACTTGTGTCAAAGCCACTTAATCTGTATCGGTAACCCCTTTGAGTGATCTCAGTTTTTATGTTGAGATCTAATTGATATTGTCTGGTTGCAAAGGCTACAGTCAGTTGGTATGCAGGTTATGCTATAGTTCCCTGTCTTGCTTTTAAATATATTTTCAGAATAAATGAAGAGAGACTGCACACTACCTTTGTAAGTACTGCGGGCAATGCTGGGATAATACCCTCCTATTTGCACCAGTTGTGCATGAACTTCATTGCCTAAAGCATCCGTTCTTAAACAGGGTTGCATGGATCCCTAGGATTCCTCCAGAGGTTGTTAGGGGTTACTTGAGCTGTGCTAATTGACCTTTCATGATGGTACCTGCATAGATCCAGGTCTATCACCACTTGGTAAAGCCAGCTGCAATACACCAATGATCTTTTTAGTTGTTCGTAAGTGGCATTTTGGCCATCAATGTAAGAGGACATTCTTTTCTCTAGCAACCAATGTATGGAGCATTTTTCTCACTGATCCCCAACTAATTGGTTTTAGCGGGGGTTCCTCCTTGGTAAAAAGATTGGGAAAGACTAGTCTGAAGACTTGATAATTGACTGTCTGATTGAATCATTTCTGCATTTGTATTTTAAATACTGTAGTATATACAGTATGTCTCTTTTCATTTCAACACCCGATATAAGATAAAATGTGTGTTAAAATTTTAGACATAGATCATCACCACCAACAAGACCTCTCCTGAGGATCTGTGTGTGGCTGTCGAATTTGTAATGATCAGACTCTCTTGACAAGAGCTTAAAGTACACTATATTGCCAAAAGTATTGAGACACCCTTCCAAATCATTGGATTCAGGTGTTCCAATCACCTCCATGGCCACAGGTGTATAAAATAAAGCACCTAGGCATGCAGACTGCTTCTACAAGTATTTGTGAAAGAATGGGTCGCTCTCAGGAGCTCAGTGAATTCAAGCATGGTATCATGATAGGTTGCCACCTGTGCAATAAGTCCATTCATGAATTTTCCTGCTACTAAATATTCCAACTGTTAGTGGTATTATAACAAAGTAGAAGCAACTGGGAACAACAGCAACTCAGCCACGAAGTGATAGGCTACGTCAAATGACAGAGAATGCTGAAGAGCACAGTGCGCAGAAGTAGCCAACTTACTGCAATAGCTAAAGACCTCCAAACTTCATGTGACCTTCAGATTAGCACAACAATGCGTAGAGAGCTTCATGGAATGGGTTTTCATGGCCGAGTAGCTGCATCCAAGCCTTAAAACACCAAGTGCAATGCAAAGCGTCAGATGCAGTGGTGTAAAGCACGCCACCACTGGATTCTAGAGCAGTGGAGATGTGTTCTTTGGAGTGACAAATCACGCTTCTCTGTCTGGCAATCCGATGGACGTGTCTGGGTTTGGTGGTTGCCAGGAGAACGGTACTTGCCTGACTGCATTGTGCCAAGTGTAAAGTTTTGGTGGAGGGAGGATTATGGTGGTGGGGGGGTTGTTTTTTAGGCGTCGAGCTTGGCCCCTTACTTCCTGTGAAGGGAAATCTTAAGGCGCCAGCATACCAAGACATTTTGAACAATTTCATGCTCCCAACTTTCTGGTAACAGTTTGAAGATGGCCCCTTCCTGATCCAACATGACTGCGCACCAGTGCACAAAGCAAGGTCCATAAAGATATGGATGAGCAAGTTTGGGGTGGAGGAACTTGCCTGGCCTGCACAGAGTGCTAACCTCAACCTGATAGAACACCATTGGGATGAATGAGAGCGGAGACTGCAAGCCAGGTATTCTTGTCTGACATCAGTGCCTGACCTCACAAATGCGCTTCTGGAAGAATGGTCAAACATTCCCATAGACACATTCATAAACCTTGTGGGCAGCCTTCCCAGAAGAGTTGAAGCTGTTATAGCTGCAAAGGGTGGGCCAACTCAATATTGAACCCTACGGACTAAGACTGGGATGCCATTAAAGTTCGTGTGTGTAAAGGCAGACGTCCCAATACTTTTGGCAATATAGTGTATATTTAAAGTCAAAACGTTTTAAAGAATTTACATATAGGGCAAAAGTGGTAATTTTGAAATCTCTCAAAAGTAAAGGAAATCCCATCTTAGTACCCTTTGAAATAATTCCTTATGGCTCCTGTTCCAATGACAAGTCACTTTAACTCAATGGTCACCAAGACAAATAAAGATAGTAAATTATCTCAATGGAAACACAATGACAATTTGACAGGGTGGGTTCTAACTCTTCATCACTGTCTAAAAAATGTTTTGACTTTAGATATACCTTACATAGTTCATAACCGATACTAGTCTCCAAACTATTATGTTACTGAAAATGTTGTGTTGCCTTTATATTGAAATACTTTTTATTTCCTTTACATCCACATTGTTTTAGGAGATCAGAGGAGAAGTATGGGAGTTTTCCTCCCAGGTCATGTGCTTTGCCAATGGAGAGTTAATTGGTGATGAAAAAGGTTTAAAGGCTTGGGCTAAAGATATGTGGGATTACAGGGACTACAGACCACTACCTTTATACAAGGCATTGGCAGAAGACTTTTATGTGAAGAAGTACATAAGAGGATCTAAAGTAAGTGAAAGCACACAAAAGAACACTAAACATAATAGCCATTGCACAGAATCTCATGCATTTTAACATAATAAAAATAGCAAACCAGTGCTTGTTCTTAAATTGGATATTGTTTTGAATTGATACATTGAATGACATAGATTGATTTACCTTTTCACACACCAGACATCTGTTCACATGATAAGGTGGCACCTTTGTATTTATTCACTCACTGACCTCTAGAAGCTGTGCACTTTTATTGAGCCCTGTATCATATTATTAAAGCCCCATACACATGATGAAAATATTGGACAAGTGATTTTTTTTTTTGCATCCTAGTTTCCATATCGAAAATTTTAGAGGTTACGAAATTTCTCGTACGGATTAAAAACGTGGAAATGATGTATTTTATTTATATTGTATTTTCAGCCAAAAACTGCATTGATTAAACAAAAATTGTACGCTCTGGTATCGTATGAGAAACATTTTCTTGCTCTTCCCCTTTGGATAATTTCGCACGACTTGCCCTGATCAGCTCTCGAAAGCTGTGTACTAATGATCAGATTATCGCACGATCACTTAGAAAGCGGTATTTTTTGTATGCTTTTCTGATCGTGTGCACTAGGCTTTTCTGGTATAGAGGTTGAAAGGATAATGTCCCAGCAAAAATATATATATTAATAACACTAATGTTATACAGCAACTTATAATTTCCAGAGATCAGATGCCATTAGTCTAATTACATTGAACTCCTAAAAAGAAATTTTGTTGCTGAGGGTGCTCTATATTATTCTTTGTACTTCGTATGTCTCTGATACAGTGGCTGCAGAGTCCCTTGCAGACATCCTGCCTGACCCTCCCCTGCTCTTGCCCAATCCCAGAAGACTTTGTATTATGTGAACCCATTCACAAAATATAAAGTATTCTGTGATAGGACAGTGGAGGGGAGGAGTGGGCAGAGCAGCTGCTGTGTAGCAGATATCTTCTATAAGAGTGCCAGGAATATAGTGATCATTGTACTTGTGGCGTTCAGTAAAAACGTAACTAGTAAATAAAGAGATACCGTATTTTTCACTCCATAAGACACACTTTTCCCCCCCAAAAAACCAGGGGAAAATGTGCGTCTTATGGAGCAAATATGGAGCGGCTGGCCCAGTATTCCCCCCATCACTGCCGCCGCCGCCGTATTAGAATACCGGGCCGGCCGCTCAGCTCTTCTGTGCAGCAGAACCTGCAGACCTCCAGCGGTCCTACCTGTTCCTTGGTCCAGCGGTGTCCTCACCGTCTTCTCTCCCCGTTGCTGGCATCTTTAGTGTGGGCACCCGGCTGTGACAGCTTGCGGCTTCAGGGCCAAGTGCCCACTGCGCATGTGTGAGAAGCACTGCGCTTTGTGAATGGCCCCATAGTCTTCTGGGACCTGTCATGTGTTCCAGAAGACTACAGGGAGGGAAGGGGAAGGACAACTCCACAGAAGTGGGAGTGTGTACTTGTCAAATTCAGGTACCCACTCCCCCTCCTCCGCTCCCCAACGGTCCGCAGTCTCTGGCCACCTCCTGTACTATGTCTGCAGTCTCTGGTCATCTCCTGTACTGTGTCCGCAGTCTCTGGTCATCTCCTGTACTATGTCCGCAGTCTCTGGTCATCTCCTGTACTATGTCCGCAGTCTCTGATCATCTTCTGTACTATGTCTGCAGTCTCTGGTCATCTCCTGTACTATGTCTGCAGTCTCTGGTCATCTCCTGTACTGTCCGCAGTCTCTGGTCATCTCCTGTACTATGTCCTCAGTCTCTGGTCATCTCCTGTACTATTTCCGCAGTCTCTGATCATCTCCTGTACTATGTCCGCAGTTTCTGGTCATCTCCTGTACTATGTCCGCAGTCTCTGGTCATCTCCTGTACTATGTCCGCAGTCTCTGGTCATCTCCTGTACTATGTCCGCAGTCTCTGGTCATCTCCTGTACTATGTCCGCAGTCTCTGGTCATCTTCTGTACTATGTCTGCAGTCTCTGGTCATCTCCTGTACTATGTCCGCAGTCTCTGGTCATCTCCTGTACTATGTCCGCAGTCTCTGGTCATCCCCTGTACTGTGTCCACAGTCTCTGATCATCTCCTGTACTATGTCTGCAGTCCATTGGTTCAGAATATTTTTTTCTTGTTTTCCTCCTCTAAAACCTAGGTGTGTTTTATGGTCAGGTGTGTCTCATGGTGTGAAAAATACCACAAGGTGCATATGCCATGTTGGACTTAGCCCCTTATAAACCCGCATATTTTTAAAAATGCTGTAATGAGAGTTCTGCTTTAAAGCTGAAACTCAAAAGTGAGACATCAAGAAGGGAGATGAATTTTGGTGAAAAGGTACCACCAGTAATATACAGTTAGTGTTTTCCACCCAACAGTAATATTTAAGTGAAATAAAATATAGTATGTTAATAAATAATACATATTCAGTATGTTACTTGTGAAATGCATGTCAGTGTAATAGCTGCTGCTCAGTTCATTATCTCCTTAATGTAATAATATGTCTTTTCCTGTTATAGCAAACCTTTGTATACCTTGATGTTGCAATTCAGGAAAAGCCCATAGGAAGATTGCTATTTGAGGTAAGTCGTTAGATCATGCCATAATTATCTGGTCATTAGGTAGAGTTTATTTTATTTTTTTTTTACTAATTTATTTGTCCCTATCCTAGTCATAAATACACAACAGAGACAGTTCAGGTGACGGCAGTCTAACCCAGCCTTTCTCAACCAGGGTGCCTTGGCAGAATGTCTAAAAATTGTCCAAAACTTGTATACAAGCCAGTGGGTGGAACAAGCCTGCCTTTTAGTTATACAAAGTCACAGGTTTTCACCATTACGACCTTCTAACCGCTGGCATCCTGACAACCAATGACATCATCAGTTGATAAGGAGGATGTCAGCTGCCTGCACAGCATCCTTGTTTGACCCTTCCCTGCCCCTCGGGACTGTCCATAATTTTAAACGGTGCCTTGACTGCAAAAAGGTTGAGACACACTGGTCTAACCTACCACTATATTTTGGGATTTGGGGTGGACAATACAGCAGGCAAGAGAACTCCATGCAGGGAGCAAAACCCATTCAAACTTCAGTCAGAGAATGTCTTTGAGCAGCCAATACCCAATACCTTCGCTAAATAGTATTGTTACCTGGATAAAAAAATCATGCATGCACACGGTTATGTAGCCCTTTACTGCTGGACTCTATACAGGGATGGATCCAGCCTGTCTAATCTGGGGGTGCAGTAAAAAAAGTCAGGGGGGCATAATGTCAACACACTATCAATTTATCTTATTTTTCTACATCTCCATGTGACCGCAATAAAAACCACATGTATAAAGCCAGCATTTCTCAACTCTTTTTTTTTTAATTTATGGTACCCTTTAAAAGCATGCGGAATTCTAAGACCCAGTCCTGAATTGTATTTCCTGGGCTGAAGGACAGTGACATCTGTACTAGATGATGGTGGTGTCACCAGTTCCTTGTGCCACATGAGTGAATCCCCTCTTCATATCAGAGTCCACCCATCAGAGTCAGCCACCTTTACATCACAGCCCCCCCTTGAAATCAGAGTTACCCCCATCTTATCAAAATCCTTCCCTTTCCATTGGAAGGCCTCTGCCATTACAACAGAGTCCTGGTATCAGGAGTACCCCCTTCATACATAACCAGGGCTTTTTTTTCTCAAAGAATAGGTGCAGAAATTCCCCTTTTCTGAGTCCCACCCCCTGTCTCCGCCAACTACCCTCCTCTGAGTACCATCCCTTAGTTCTACCCAGGGGCGGACTGACAACTCATGGGGCCCCCGGGCAATAGGGGATCATGGGGTCTTGCCCAAACTCAAAAAAGCCTATGAAAAAAGGTACCAGGGGCATCTCATGGGGCCCCCTACTGACCCCGGGCCCTCAGGCAGTGCCCGAGTTTCCAAATGGTCAGTCCGCCCCTGGTTCCACCCCCTACTCACCTCCCAGTACTGCCCCTATTAGAGAATACAGAACCAAGTAACATTTTGTGGTGCTAAATAATTTGTATGGAATTTGTTAATGATAGCAAGAAAGGCAGTAAAATAAATCCCCTGCAGCCAGCAACAATAGGTTCCCCCACCAATAGACCCAACTCCAGCAACAATAGATCCCACCCCAGCAACAACAGATCCCCACACAGCAACAATATACCACCCACAACAAACTTTTACCCCCAGAAACAAAAGATCTCCCAGCAGCCAGCAACCTCTCCCTCAAAAGCAGATCCCTAGCAGCAACATAAGACCCCCCAGTAACGATAGACCCTCACACAAAAACAGATCCCCACCAGTGACAATAGATCCCCCAGCAGCCAGCGTCAACAGATCCTCCAGCATACCCCACACCCCTTGCCATTACATACATTCAGTGCTGGAGGTACCGGAACTGCGTTCTCCCACATTCCTGCTGAAAAAAAGCCCTGTATGTAACAACAAATGATGCTGTGGATCCTGGCCTGCACCATGGAAACAAAGGATGTGTTGTGGTACAAAGGGGCAGGGCATGCTGCCTTGGCAGGGGAATTTTATGAAAGCACTTGGCCTGTGTGGTGTGTAAGATCATAACTTGGCCGTCCTGCCAGAGGAAAAGAGAGTGCAGTGCGCTGCAGCCAACATTGGGTGTTGGTTTTGGTGGCTTTAGGTAGCCCTCGCTGGTTGCATAGTAATTTTAAAAAATTCCTCTCTGCTATGCTATTGTATTCTGGCGGACTCCCCTAATGTCAGAATACACTGATCAGTCGCTACAGCTGGTAATCAAGAAAAGGTTTACTGCATCCTTGTTCAACAATACTTGATCGTTAGACCAAATTCTGTCAAACAGAGAAGGCTATACATGGACTTAAATTCACCACCCCCTGTGGAACTGGCCAAATTTCAATCCAGCTATGGCCAGCTTAAAGTGGAGCTCCACCCAAAAGGGGAAGTTCCGCTTTAAGCCTCCCCCACTCCCCATTAAGAATTGGCACTTTTGGGGAGCGGGTACCTGAACTTGACAGGTACCCGCTCCCACTTCCTCTGTGATCGCCTAAGTCAATAGGAAGTGGAAGATTTCCTCCCTCCCTGTAGTATTCTGGGACACGTGACAGGTCCCAGAAGAGTACGGGGCCATTCACAAAGCAGTGGGCACCCAGCTGTAAAGCCGCAAGCTTTCACAGCCGGGTGCCCACACTGAAGATGCTGGCGCCAGGGAGAGAAGATGGCTGATGAAACCAGCGGTGGTGTGGACACCGCAGGACCGAGAGACAAGTAAGTGTCTGTATTTTAAAAGTTAGCAGCTACAGTTTTTGTAGCTGCTGACTTTTATTTATTTTTTTTTCAGGTGGAACTCCACTTTAAGTAATGCACAACACAGCATGTAGAGTGCAGCAGTTAGGTGAGAGGGAGAAAGAGGGGAGCAAAAAGAAATAAGGGGGAGAGAGAGAGGGAAGAGGGGGTGGAGGTAGAGAGACTAAAGGGGGGAAGAGGGAGAAAGAGAGAAGGGGGAAGGAGGAATACATGGGAGATGGGGGGGCAAGAGAGAGACAAGATGGAGTGAGGGGAGACAGGAAGGGGGGGAACAAGATAGAAGGGGTCAGAGCTTCACAGCTGCAGCAAGAAATACACCCCTTGTTATATTTGCCCACTGAAGTGACCCATTCAAATAAAAGGGTCCACGCTGCAACCCCCCTGCAATGCACATGGTTGCTGCGGGGTGGTGCAGCACTTAGGGGGTTAAAACAGGTGGTGAGGAGGTAACATAAGGCCTCCTCACCACCTGTCAAATGCCTCTTAAAAGTAATTATGCATGGATTGCTTTTCAGAGGAGCTGCAGTCTTTTGCAGTCAAAACAGTCGAAGGAGGGGCATCTGCTAATGTCAAGAAGGAGAGGGGGATTCAGTTTTCCTGCACTCACCAATTACCCCCTCAGATTCAGGCAGCCAGGTTGTACAGCCTCTTCATGTACTCTCTATGCAGTCCCATTTGGCTTCTGCACATACACAGCAAGCCTCTCACTGCTGTGTGTACTATATGGGGGTAGAGTATGGGAGGGACAGACAGCAGCAGTGCCGGTACAAGGTCATCTTGTGCCCAGGGCCAATATGCCAAACAATGCCCCTGCAAAATGTATGATCATTATGTGTCAGCAGAAATCCCCTCCCTCCCTCCAAATAAAATCAAGCACTAAAGGGTGGACTATAGGAGTGCAGCGTTGGGGCCCCTCACTACAGATGCCACTGGAAGTTAGATTGCCACTGTGTGGTGTTTGCTTACCCGTCCCCTACCCACATTCTTTGCTGGGAGGAGATGGGGGAGGGTAAACAAACTGCACAGTGGTAATACGGCAGTCCTGATCCAGGAGAGCTGCAGCAGCAGGGGAGAGAAAGCACAACCCACCCCTCCGCCCAGCTCTCTCCTCCTCTCCAGATCTCGCTTGTCTCCTCCAGTGCCAAGCTCACAGGAGTAGTGAAACTGATGTCACTGCTCCTATCAGCTTGTATGTAGGAACTTTCCTTGCGGTGCCCCCCTCCATCTCCCATGATACCACTGTGCCCAGGGCAGCCTCCCCTCCTGCCCACCCCTTTTCCTGGCCCTGGACAGCAGGGAAAGGATAGGAGGCAGGCAGATTCAGTCTGCTCCATCCTGTTCATGTAGCATCCTGTGCTGAGCTCTGTGTTGAATTAGGCTTGTAACTGAAAAAAAAAGTAGAACAGGTTGCATTTTTTCTGCACATAATTGTACTGGAACACAGTAAAACTAATCAAAAACGCACTGGAACGCACCAAGAATGCACAGGAATGGACATGTCCTGATTTAAATTGAAGAAAAAGAGAGAGGAAAAAATGAACTGGAAAGCATAAAAAATGTACTGGAATGTGTCAAAAATGCGCATACAAAAACGCATGCAGAACGCATCTGGACTGTGTTTCTTTAGTGTGAACCAGGTGCAGTCTAGTGCGCTTTTTTTCTACATCAAAAATGCATGCAGAGTGTTTTCCATGTATTCCAATGGTGACTTTTAAAAAACAGCCACTTACCTGTCCCTTGGTCCCGCGGTGTCCTCTCCGCAGCCCGTTTCACCGGCCGTCCTGTGTTCCAGGCGCCTGCATCTTCAGTGTGGGCACCCGGCTGTGACAGCTTGCGACTTGACAGCCGGCTGCCCACTGTGTATGTTCGAGTAGCACTGCACTTCCTGAATGGCCACATAGTCTTCTGGGACCTGTCATGTGTCCCCGAAGACTACTGGGAGGGAGGCTAGGAGGTCAACTTCCGCTTCCGATCGCCTAGGCGGTTGCAGCGGAAGTGGGAGTGGGTACCTGTCAATTTCAGGTACCCGCTCCCCAAAGGTGCCAATCCTTAATGGGGAGCGGGGGACCAGTCTTTAAAGCGGAACTTCCCCTTTTGGTTGGAGCTCCGCTTTAACAACAAAAACCCTGTAGTCTAAGACTATGCTTGTATCCTGTACTGCACTCCAAGAAATAGATTTTACAGGTAAGTCAAATAACACCTACTTTATATTTGTTACATGTTCCCATTCACATGGCATAAGTTAAAAAAAATGCAACTTACCTATAGATCTTTCTGATAACTCCAGTGCTGTAAAATCCTACTAGTTATCTTTGTTTGTGAGTAGGCTGGGAATAATGAACCCTCTCTGTACTCTGCTAGCGGATCTCATGAGTTGTAAATTAGATTTGAAAACTTTATGTGTTAATAAAAAGGTTAAACATTTGCCATCTTGACTTGTATGCATTAACAAGCTGGGTACTGTATGTTAATGAGAGGGAGCTCATCATGTCCCTAAGCCTTTTACTGGGACACATCACACTGAACATATTGAAAAATGTTTGCAGTCAGCAATGACACCTTCTAAAAAGTATCTATGGCTGGCCATACATTATACAATTTTCTTGTGAATTTGGCTTTAGATTTACCAAAAAAACCATATAACATGAGGTCAAACCTAAACAACACTTTCAATTGTTTCCAATTAGGCAGGCCCTTGCACTACATAGTTGAAGGTAAATATAAAGGAAATTGGACAGAAAATTGTAAGAAAATTGTATAGTTTATGGCCAGCCTTAGGCTGCTTTCACATTGTAGTGCTTGTAAAACATGCTATGCATTTAAAAAACACATAGCACGTTTTAAATGTGTTGCGTTAAAATTTAGCACAACGTATCTGAGGTGAATAGCTGGTTGTCAAGGATGGCATCGGGCGCCAGCTCCTTAACCTCGTTGGTGGTATGATTCTTTCCGATTTTTGGTGCTGAAAGCGGTACATTTTTTTGCATGGAAATATGTAGTTTTTTTATTGTAGGCCTGTAATTTTTAGGAATAACTCCCTGAAATCTGTCCGAACAAGAGTCTAGTAAACATCCCGGGTATGATAAAATTTGAAACACGTAATCATAAATTATAATTTAATAAATAATCATAAAAAATAATATAATAATAATACATTTAATTCAATAATATAATCAAACCAAAAACACTGAAATGTGAAATATAGCGCCAAGTTAGCACATTGCTGAGCAAAGTCGCAAAATCATTTTCAGTGTCTGATGACAAATTTCACCACAAATCATTATCACTCAATTCTGGAAATGGTTCTGATTTACTATCGCTGTTCTCTAGCTGGTCTAAACCGCTTTTGACCTAAAGGGACACTTTTTGGACGCCATGGACATTTCTCAGTTTCCAGGCAGAAAGAACAGTCAAAATGCAGGCAGGGCACAGGACAAAGCATTAGGGACAAGATGTATGTGAAATTGGTTGAGACAACAATGTTTTACTATGTAAAATGTAAAAAAAAAAAAAGACATTTTTTAAAATTTTTAAATTTCCCGCCGCCAGCGGCGCCCGTACGTCCCGGCGTCACAGGGACAGGACACAGAAGCCGGATGCCGGCATCGGACAGAGGAGATGGCCGGGGACGCTGCAGGGGACACATCGTGGGAGCGCAGGGTAAGGTAAGTGAAGAACAAATGCTGGAGCAGTGCCGCATGGTAATTCCGAGTGTAGCTCGGGGTTACCGCTCTTGGTACTGAAATGTTACCCCGAGCTACACTCGGGAATACCGCCAAGGAGGTTAACAACCAGCTATTCACTGATTGTTAAAGATGCTGATGTGTGCCAGCTCTGCTGTTCACTGGTTGTTAAGAAATAGGCAATTACCGGCGGGTGCCTTCTCTTTAACAACCAGTACCTGGAGATCAGTCTTTAGTGCAGAGGTTCCTAGCAAGAGATGTGAGTATGCATAAGGCATTCAGATTACATTAGGGAGGTTTAGCCTGACGGTTAGCACTAGACTAAATTTACAGGGAGGGTTGGAGTGAAGGTGAATGTCGCTGTTAAACAATATATGACATCAAACATACAGTGGGGAAAAAAAGTATTTAGTCAGCCACCAATTGTACAAGTTCTCCCACTTAAAAAGATTAGAGAGGCCTGTAATTGGCATCATATGTAGACCTCAACTATGAGAGACAAAATGAGAAAAAAAATCCAGACAATCACATTGGCTGATTTGGAAAGAATATATTTGCAAATTATGGTGGAAAATAAGTATTTGGTCACCTACAAACAAGCAAGATTTCTGGCTCTCACAGACCTGTACCTTCTTCTTTAAGAGGCTCCTCTGTCCTGCACTCATTACCTGTATCAATGGCACCTGTTTGAACTTGATATCAGTATAAAAGACACCTGTCCACAACCTCAAACAGTCACACTCCAAACTCCACTATGGTGAAGACTAAAAGAGCTGTCGAAGGACACCAGAAACAAAATTGTAGACCTGCACCAGGCTGGAAAGACTGATTCTGCAATAGGCAAGCAGCTTGGTGTGAACAAATCAACTGTGGGAGCAATATTTAGAAAATGGAAGGCATACAAGACCACTGATAATCTCTCTTGATCTGGGGCTCCACGCAAGATCTCACCCCGTGGGGTCAAAATGATCACAAGAGCGGTGAGCAAAAATCCCAGGACCACACGGGGGCACCTAGTGAATGACCTGAAGAGAGCAGGGACCAACATAACAAAGGCTACCATCAGTAATACACTACGCCTCCAGAGACTCAGATCCTGCAGTGCCAGACGTGTCCCCCTGCTTAGGCCAGAACATGTCCGGGCCCGTCTGAAGTTTGCTAGAGAGCATTTGGATGATCCAGAAGAGGATTGGGAGAATGTCATATGGTCAGATGAAACCAAAATAGAACTGTTTGGTAGAAACACAACTCATCGTGTTTGGAGGAGAGAGAATGCTGAGTTGCATCCAAAGAACACCATACCTACTGTGAAGCATGAGGGTGGCAACATCATGCTTTGGGGCTGTTTCTCCGCAAAGGGACCAGGATGACTGATCCATGTACAGGACAGAATGAATGGGGCCATGTATTGTGAGATTTTGAGTGCAAACCTCCTTCCATCAGCAAGGGCATTGAAGATGAAAAGTGGCTGGGTCTTCCAACATGACAATGATCCCAAACATATACCGCGCGGGCAACGAAGGAGTGGCTTCGTAAGAAGCATTTCAAGGTCCTGGAGTGGCCTAGCCAATCTCCAGATCTCAACCCCATAGAAAACCTTTGGAGGGAGTTGAAAGTCCGTGTTGCCCAGCGACAGCCCCAAAACATCACTGCTCTAGAGGAGATCTGCATGGAGGAATGGACCAACATACCAGCAACAGTGTGTGCCAACCTTGTGAAGACTTACAGGAAATGTTTGACCTCTGTCATTGCCAACAAAGGATATATAACAAAGTATTGAGATGAACTTTTGATATTGACCAAATACTTATTTTCCACCATGATTTGCAAATAAATTCTTTCCAAATCAGCCAATGTGATTGTCTAGATTTTTTTTCTCATTTTGTCTCACATAGTTGAGGTCTACCTATGATGCCAATTACAGGCCTCTCTCATCTTTTTAAGTTTGAGAACTTGCACAATTGGTGGCTGACTAAATACTTTTTTGCCCCACTGTACAAGCCTGGTTTATCAAAAAGTTATTTCATGATTTAAAATGTTACATAAACTACATTTTTTCACTTTTCATTATTGCAGTTGTTCTCAGATATGTGTCCTAAAACATGTAAAAACTTCCAACATTTGTGCTCGGGAGAATCAGGGGACTCCCCAAGTGGTATCAAGCTACATTATAAGGGTGCTCCATTCCACCGCACTGTGAAAAATGGCTGGATACAAGGTGGAGGTAATGTACGGGTCCTGTTTTCTGAGATTTATGGATTAATACATAGTTGGTAGGTTTAATGCATTTTTATGAAAGAAAATCCACATATACTCAACGTGTCTCTGCACAGCACAACATTCCCTAATTCAATTTGCAAGTTACTAATTCTTGGAAACATCCATTCATGACTTGTAATATATGTATGACTTTGTGCATAAATATTTTTTTCTTTTGAAACAGATATAGTGGCAGGAAAAGGAAATGGAGGTGAATCTATTTTTGGTGGAACATTTGATGGTAAATATATAAAGTCTATGTATGTGTATACATTTAAAATTTTAGCTGTGACATGTAGTAGCCCCTGAAAGAGTCAATGTGAAAATCATGTGCATTACATATATTTTCTCCGAATAAAGATAGAATTTGTGAACTTAAAGCAGAGCTCCACCCAAAAGGGGAAGTTCCGCTTTAAGGACTGCTCGAATATGACAGGTAACCGCTCCCACTTCTGGTCCGATCGCCTAGGCGATCAGAAACCAAAGGTGTCCTCCCTCCCTGTAGTCTTTTGGGACACGTGACAGGTCCCAGAAGACTACAGGACCGTTCACAAAGCGCAGCGCTACTCGCGCATGCGCAGTGGGTACCCGGCTGTGAAGCCGCAAGCTACCACAGCCAGGTGCCCACACTGAAGATGCCGGCCTCCTGGAATACAGGACAACCGGTGAAACGGGCTGCGGGGAACACACCATGGGACCGAGGGACAGGGAAGTGGCTGTTTTTTAAAAGTCAGCAGCTACAGTTTTTGTAGCTGCTAACTTTTATTTTTTGACAGGTTGATTGGAACTCTGCTTTAAGTAAAATTCTCTGAGTTCACTAAAGTATACAGCTACATTTGGGAACCATGAGCTTATATAGCCACCTGCAGGAAAAAGATTCTAGCAGCAAACAGCAACCTTGGTGCCTGCACCGCCTAGTGACTTAAAGTGTTACTAAACCCACAACAGTAAAATCAGTCTGTATATGCAGTAAAGCATGCTTGTTATACTCACTGTAGGACCTAAAGGGGTTAAACCTCTGCTTTGCATAAGAAGGCTGTTTGATCCTGACTTCTCTGATCTTCCTCTTGTTCAAATGCCCACACTGATAAGACAGACTGAACCCGTAGCCCTTCTGCACATGCTCAGTTTAGTGTATATTGATAGAGAAGTTTTTTTTTTCTTGGGAGAGTGCATGTGATCAGCACAGAACCAATCAGCACTGTCCAGACAGAGGTCAGGGGTCCTTCACCTTCCTAGAGCAAAATGAAAACTATTACAAGCTTTAACCAGTGCTCGGCTGGACACTGATAGAAGTCACAAGACTGCTCTAACTGCTGATGAGAAAAGGTATTTAGCAAATTATATTTGCTAAAATAATTCACTTCCATGTTGTGTGTACTGTGGGAGACCAGATAGAGTGAATGCAGGGTCCTGGGTTTAGTAACACTTTAACCTCACCTCTGATACAGAACTCAGTGATTAGCAAGCAGTACGATGAGTAAAAACAAATTATAAAACCCAACAAAACTAGAGATGGGAGCTGTCTTCCTAAGTGAAAAGAGTACAAGAATTCTATTTCCTCTATTGTTAAGGGACGCACCTACGTTCAGGAATCATAATAAATGAAGGGCAGGCAAAAGACACTAACAAAATAAAAAGTCCAAGGCCACAAAGGGTGACTCACATCACTGCCAGGCAAAACTTGGCATCCACTGATGCAGACACATTGGTTTCACAAAACCTAGTGCTATTGAAATTTTCCATTGGTCTCAGGGTCAATCATTGGGGAGCGACCGGTCCTCTTTAGTGTTGCAGACATGTTGCATTGGCTAAGCACACACAAATTCAGTAAGGAAACAGCCCACAAGGGTACCGCTACAAGAGTACGGCATGCTAAATCTGGCAAACCAGCAGGGGTACAATACCACAGGTGTAACCCACCTGTCTGACCACTGGAACCTGAAATAGTTGAGAATGAGGACTGCAGCAATCTTCCCCAACTATGAGTGGTAAAGTGGTGCCTGTAGTCTAACAGCAGTCCACGGTTGTTGTCCACCGCGGTCCACCATTTAGTGATGCCTGCTTTATATACTTAAAATATTGTACTAACACATTGATACACTGACTATGGAGAGGTTTAAGCACCCTAAATAATATTATATTGTTAGTTGCTGAATGATGTAGTTAATAGTGGTGTGCAGACCTTTATGGCTAATTACTGGACCTAATTTACGGCCTTTAAAATGAGAATTGGTGGGTTCCATCAAAAGTTTGTGAGAAGGGTGCTTTGCTTTTGGATAGATTATACTTAAAATGGAACTAAACCCTCCTTATACAGCTGAAAACAGCACCATTTTAGTCTGTTTTTAATGTGGAACTAAACCCTTCCATCCTTTGCAGCCAAGATAGCTGACATCTTTGTCTCTGTTTGATCTGTAGTTGTGTGCAGTTATGACGCCAGCCATTTGATGACTTGACAGTCCTGCTGAGAGCACAAACAACTGTGACAGTTATCATTCATGGCATGACTTGAATTTAACAGTTTTGGGATACAGTTAAATCAATAGGTTTATCTCCACTTTAAATTTGCATCTGCCATGGTGCAAGTGTGATCACCTATAACACCTGCTATTTGAAGGCTTGAATGTTTGGCTCAAATAAGCACACTGGCAACTGTGACAGTTATCACCAGAGGCATGCCTTCAATGTTACTCTTTTAGGAAACTGTTAAATCAATGGGATTAGTTCTGCCTTAAATACCAAACAAGTTAAATAAAATCTAATTACTAGAAATTATTTTACAGATGAAAATTATGCTGTATCTCACAACAAACGTGGAATTCTTGGCATGGCCAATAAAGGACACCATACAAATAGTTCCCAGTTCTACATCACTCTTCAGGCTACCCCTTATCTGGATAAAAAGCAAGTGGCATTTGGGTGAGCAAACACTTTAAGGCTTTTAACAAATAAATTAACTCGTCATTTCATTCATTCTAGAGTACTGCAGACTTTTGTTAAGTACCATGAATAGTAAAGGGTTTTGCCAGAATCACAGGGGGAATATTTTGTATAATGTTTGTTGTGTAACTGTTGAAAATGCTAGAGCTACTATCGGAAAGTCTGGAAGTCATAACCTGTATTTGCACTATACTATACCATGACCATTTTATTATATATCCTTAACTTTTGACTGCTAGCACAAGGCTCTTGACTTGTTTTAAATAAATTACTTATATGTGCTAAAACCCATCCCATGATGGTATTGTTGTATAAAGCTGTATCATTATTGTAAGATTTTGCCCTTATGTTGATTGCAAAACAATCTACTATTTAAGAATTTAGGTGCCACTAAATCTTCAGGTTTTTTTTTTTTAAATAACAAACATGTTATACTTACCTGGTCGTAGCAGCCCCAATCCTCTTCTTTTCTAAGGGCACCGCTGCGTGCTCGTCCCTGAGTCGCTGCTCTATGTGTCTATAAGTCCCCCCCTCTCTCCTCATTGTCTCACTGGCTGTGATTGACAGGCAATGGGCTCTAGCTGCTGTCTCAGCCAATGAGGAGGAAGAGTCCCCAGACAACAGAGGTTATGGGGAATGTCACTGGATCAGAGGAGGCTCAGGTAAAAATTGGGGGGGAGGCTGCACACAGAAGGTTTTTTACCTTCATGCATAGAATACATGAAGGTAAAAACCTTGAGCCTTTAGAACCACTTTAAGATTTTGGTACTCACCATCACTTTTTTTGTGAGCTTTTTGTGCCTGATATATACCACCACCCTAGCATTGCTGAATTACACCCTCCGTGACTCCGATGGACAAATTCCACGAAGGCCTACAAAGTTGTTGCTGATGATATGCCGGATCACTCCTGTGTAGAGAGTAACTCAAGCAGCATCTTTTGAAGTCTTTGATAAAATCATTTGTGAAATATCTAAAAAAATATAGTTAAGACGTTTTTTCAGTGCAGCTGAACCTCTTCGGACATTAGCAAACAAATGAAGGCAGATTGTTAGAGGAGGGATAATACAGTGGTGGCTTAATGTTTTTTTTTTTTTTTGCCGGTGTCCCAACATTTTGTACTTGGCAGGGTAACCCAACTGCTAAACACTCAGTGGATGATAAAAAGAATAACTGCTGATTTGCCAGAAATTAGATCCTAAGTCCTGCTGTGGGTTGAAAACTCACAGCATTTCTGTGGACTGAGTAGTATCATTCTTGTCCCATGTCTTTTTTGCTAAACTACTCACACCTGCCCACCAACCTTATCTACACAACATAGGCATTAATTATTATACTGTAGTCCAACTAGGAGGACTAATTAAATTTATTGAGATAACATAGAAGTATACTCAGGGCACAAGATAGCTCTAAATTTCATGCATATTTTTTTACATGTTGAACAGATATAACAAAACACCTTCAATGGTATATATAGAATATATATAGCATACAAAAGGTAGCAAATAGGTTAATTTTTGGGGATTACATACAATTTAAAGTGATTGTAAACCTCTGAAATGAAATGAACAGTGCATGTCCCTCTATAGTGTGTGTACTTGCTTCAGTCCAAAACACTTGAGCCTAGTACTCACGAGCTGAATGTTGGGTTCAATAGAAACCAGCCAGCATTCAGCCCATGTGTAGGGCAGTCGGCATGACCCTCCACTCAGGTCTCAGACTACACTCAACTTTCCTTTCTGTGCTGTGCAGTGTGTGACATCAGATCCCACCCCATGCCTGCTGGAGCTGAGAGATAGCTTCTGATCTGTGTACTTTGAACTCATGTAGAGAAAAGAGGGATGCAGAGAAACAGGTGAAATTTATTTAGGAGGATTTGTTTCTTTTCTGTGTAATACCTGATGTTAGTCACTTCACTGGGTATATGTAAGGATTTACAGGCATTTTTTAAAAACTTTAAAATAAGCTAGATTTGGTTTTAGAAAATATAACAATTTATTGGGGGTTGTTTCTAAAACAAATGAGAACATAAAGGAAAGAAATTGCCCATATTGATCAATCAGATTCCTTATTTAATTTTTCCACAGAAATAAAAATCTGAAACTTGATTCACTACCATAGGCAACAGTCCCACTTTTGTTTCTATTTTCTTTTCTCCATTTTGTTCTACAGATATTCCTGATAAATGATCTCTGTAACAATGTATGGTTCTTCAACATATTGTTGCAAATCCATGCCAAGTACTCTTGAAGAAGCAGCTATCCTACAAATGCACTTTGTAGACTGTTGAACAAAGACTTTTTTTTGCACAATGTAACTGCTACTTTTTGCTTTTCCCTTTGTAGACAATTGGTCGAAGGCAGTAATGTACTTTGGAAAATGGAAGACATCCCAACATACAATGAGAGACCAAAACTTAACTGTACTATTTTGGACTGTGGCATCTTTATTCCTTGAGTTTCAAACAATTTTCATTGGAAGAGCCAAAGAGAATGAAGGCCTACACAACTACATCAAGACCTTAGTAGGCAATGAACTAACCATTATCAAATCTGTGTAGTTACCTACTTACATTCAGTTTTTGACAATACCTGACAAGTGGGCAAGATAAATAAACATGTATCAATTAATAATGTATTGGGTACCAACATATGGATGCAGGGCCCAAGTTAGAAATCCAGATATGATCTAAAGCTTTCAGCTTGAAAACATTCCATACACTTCCCCCCCATGGTAAGGTTCTCTACACTACAGTCACTACCTAGTGTTGCCATTTCCTTCTTCCCGACATGCACTGCGCTTTAGGCACGGACACGGCGTGATTATATCCATGCCCCATGCAGGGCTGTGTTTATCCACACGGGTGTTGTCCCATTCATGTATATTAGGACACAGCGGATGCACAAACACAGTCGCCGTGTCCCAATATGATGTCTGTGTGGGTGCAAGTGCATGTCTCCAAACTCACCCTGGGTGCATTCAGGGCTGTGCACCCGCACAGATGTCCCCTTGGGAGCAGCAGATGTGTCCAAGCAGTAGTTTCATCCCAACAGACAGATATGGGACTGCTAGCACGGGGATGCAAGCAACACCTATACATCCCCATGCCGGTAAAACATGGCCCCACATGGTGCATGAATTAGGCCTAAGGCCTCATTCACACCGCTGTGCAGAGACATCAGTTTTTCTACATGCGTTCTGCAACGGCACAACAAAATAAATTGTTCTCTATGTGCTCTGTTCATACCACAACACTAGTTCAGTATCCTAAGCAGATTGTTTTCTGCACAGGAATCTGCAACATGTATAAAACTCATGGAGGTTTGCATGAAAACTGATGTAAACTGATGTCTCTGCAAGTGAAATCTGTGCATCAGTTTCCATCGGTTTTCTGGCCTTGCACTGACAGCTGCCTTCTGAGTTTTGGACCTTGAGTTGGTTATGAATGAACCTGTCATTACTACCCATAATGTTTCAAGAACACTTAACTAGAAGAGAAAATAGTCTTAGAGCATTTGATTTTACCCTTTGGTTAGTTCACACACATTTTACCCCCTTGGTTAGTTCACATGACTGGTGATGACAATCAGGGTACTGTGTCCATATTTACACTTTGAGGGCTGGTTCACACCATAGAAACACAGTCCAGATGCATTCCAGATGCGCTCCAGTTGTGTTTCTGCATACGCATTTTTGGCACATTCCTGTACCTTTTTTTATGCGTTTTTGACATGTTCCAGTGTGTTTTTTATGCTTTCTGTTTAATCTTTTTCCCCTCTCTTTTTCTTCAATTTAAAAAGGGACATGTGCGTTCCGGTGCATTTTTTGTGCGTTCCTGTGCTTTTTGATGCATTTTACCGTGTTCCAGTACAGTTCTGTGCAGGAAAAATGCAGCCTGTTCTACTTTTTTTTCTGCAACCGGAACACACTGATGTGAACTATGACATTGACAACCATATGACCTACTTTCTGTGCATTTTGGATGCAGAAGTGAACAGAATCATTTTACTGCAGTGATGTCCAAATGAAAAAAAACCCTTCTAATTTTGCAGCTTTTGGCCAGTGTTTGTTAGTGTTAACTGCGTGTTTATTTTGCATTCTTATACTGATTTCATTATTTTTGCTTAGTTTTCCTTCAAAACAATCCATTCCTTTCAAAATCAAGCATTAAAAGTAAATTAATTTATGAAGTACTTTTGAAGGATATTTGTCAAATGTCAAATGTACTGCAAATTTTTGTACAAATGTTCGTATGAAAGTTTGTTAGAAAATCTACTAGTGTATGGCCAGCTTCACTCTCAGGCACACTGTAAAGTTTGACCAGCTCTACAATTTGCTTAGAGCTAATTAAATATGTTAAATCTATTTCAGAATTAAATCAAATCCTTTGTGAGCCCACACATTTAAAGGCTCACAAAGGAATTCTATGTTCACCTTTTCTTTTGTCTTTTCTGTCCAAGCATCCCAATATGCATAGATTTCATTTACCTAGTCCATGGCAGCTTTGAATCTGCACCTCTCTGTTGAAAAATGTTAAAAATGCATTCTGAGACTTGATTTCCTGTAGCATTATATGACCATCCAGGAAACTTCATATCCCATCACGCACTGCCTTGTTGCATCACAGAATAGTATGTGTTTTACAAATCTCCCTCTTACTATACCACCTCTTTTTTATTTCCACCCACTTTCCTACTTCTTCCTTTACCCTAGATTCACACCTAAGCTTTTTCCACAGCATTTTGCGTTTTACAGAACGGCACTACAGTCCATTTAACATGATTATCTATGGGACACGTTCGCATCTCCGCATTTTCACCCGGTGTGTTTTTTGGAAAGGGTCGTGGACTTTTTTTAATGCAAAAAGTTGTGTTTTTGGTTCTATAGACTTCAATGGAAACGCTGCAGAAAAGTATATAGTGCATTTTTGCCGCGTTTGTGATGCATTTTTGCATTTGAAATCTTCCTAGCAATAAGAAAAAAAAAATGCATAAAAGACGCTGGTGCTAAAACGCAATGCAGAAACGAGTCAAATGCAAACTGCATAGGTGTGAACCTAGCCTTAAGGTGGCCATACACTATGCAATCTGATTGTACAATCTCTGTACATTTTATAATTACAAAAACTATATAATAGGAGCACACATCTTTCTATCCAATCACTCTGTATCCAATCAGACAGGCCCTTACAGTACATAGTTGATGGTAGATCTAAAGGGGATTGCAATCAGATTGTATAGTGTATGGTGAGCTTTACAGACTTCAAGGGACCCACATCTCCTTTTTTTAATACTACAACTCTGCTTCACATAGGTTGTTATGTGATTGCGCAGTTCCTACACATTCTGCCATATGAACGAGCTTTGCAAGAAGAAGGTAAGGTACAATACGATCAGTCAGCAGAAGAATACACTAGCTGTGTATTCATAGAGAATAGTGCTTACTGACAATGATTGCATGTAACTATAGACGTTGGTAGAAACAATCTCCTGGAGGGTGAGGGCAGGTGCAGGGTGTATTAATGAGGTCAGCTGCTGAATTACTTCCTTAATCTAACATTTTTTTACGTCCCAAAGGACGTATACCAGGAAGTCATGGAGGAAGTTTCTATGGAAGAAACTGGAGGCTGAGGTAAAGCCTGTCCTAGAAAAATCTTTTTCTTTTCTGCCACAAAGGTACATCAATGGTATATTGGTACATAAGGAAGCTGGATTTAAGAAACAAAAAGTGAACTTAGCCTTTACAACTAATATACAATGCTATATAAACTTCAGAATGGAGTTACACTTTTAGTGCCTTTCCCTTTTCTTGTTTTATAGTGATCATTTACCTCTGCTCTTTGCCCATAGAAGTGGAGTAACAGATACTGTAACTATGATTACAAAATGGTTGCAGAAAATGCTGCTCTGGGCTCCAACACCAATCTGTTATGTAACCATAAGCTGTATCATTTGGTCACATCATCTTTGCCGCAAAAGCTTATCAAAAGATCACAACTGTTCATTTGCTGCTTCCACTCAATTCCCAGGGCTCTTTGAGCTAACATCACATGACCTAATGCCTAGATATATAATCACATGACTACAAAATGTTTCTTTTTTTGTTTAAACAGTAATGAGTTCAAATTCATTCCCAAGTTGTCCCAAAATTAGAGAAATGGATAAAAGAAGCTAGAAAAGAACAGAAAAGACTGCTTTTTATGATGGAAGAACAAGAAAACAGAGAAAGGAGAAATAATCTTAGAGTAAGAGGAGTCCCAGAGTTGATAAAGGGGGAAGATTTAAAAGAACTAATCAACAAAATTTTGAGTTCCATAATGGAGAAACCAGACGTGGAGACTTTAAATTGGATGGAGTCTATAGGATAGGAAAATATCAACAAGAAAAAAGATTAGAAAAACCAAGAGATATAATTGTTAAATTCCATGACTTTGTAGATAAAGAAGAGATATGGAAAAAGATCAAAGGAAGAACAAGTATTGCATATGGAGGGAAAGATATTCAAATTTTCGCAGATCTAACAGCAGAGACTCTGAGAAGAAAGAGATCACTGAAACCCCTATTAGAATTGATGAAAAAGCATAATGTGAAATACAGATGGGGTCGTGCAGTGAGTTTAATCGGTTGGAGAGATGGAATCACAGCAATATTAAGATTCCCAGAAGATATGGAAGATTTTTGTGATATAAACTTGGTCTGCAGAGACTAGTGATACCGGGTTGGGAAGTGGAGGAGGGAGAGTTATGTACTTTTGGGGAAGGAAAGTGGCAGCTGGTCAGAAGAGGAAACAGAGAGTCAATAGAGAAGGAGACACGGGGAGGAGGGGGGGGAAGGTGAGCGGTCATGGGTGGAGCCGAACCCCTAGGGAGGGATCAGAGGAGGATCATGATCCAAAGGCAAAGGAGGCCTGGGGGGGGGGAGTATAGGGAGGGGAGGGGAGGGGGGGGGAGGTATGGGGGGGAGAGGGTTAGGGAGGGTAACACTCAGCAAAAGAGAGGAGAGAGGAGGGGAGAAGGAAAGAGAGAGATAAGAGGAGTGGGTTTATATGGAAGAAGTTCAGTTTGTAACCTATAACGTAAAGGGGCTGAGTTGCCCTGGGAAGAGATTTAGATTATTTAGGGAGTTGCAACATAGAACATCATCGGTGGTTTTTTTACAGGAGACACATCTAGAGATGGAGTCGAAGGTTAGGCTGAGGACTAGATATTTCCCGACATGGTATTATGCGGATTCATCAATTAAAAGAGCAAAAAGGGGTAGCTATAGGCTTTGCAAAAAATATAAAGTTTGAGGTGGAAAAGAGAATAATAGACCCAGAGGGAAGGTTTTTGTTTCTGAGGGGTAAGTTGCAGGAAATTGAGTGTACACTGGCTAGTATATATTGCCCAAATAAGAAACCGGAGATATTTCTGAGGGAAGTATTGAGGAAATTGATGGATTTTAAAAGGGGTCGCTTGA